TTGACTTAAGTTGAGATTATCTCTCCCAATTTGATCTGCGAGTATTTTATTATTTTCATATAATTTTGTTTGTTTTGTTTTTTGCTCACTGCTGATGCTCTTCTTCGCTCGCTAGGTGTATTTTCCACTTTCATCATTAAGTGGACAGAATCAAGGAGAAATACGGTGAGTACTTACTACCCTGGAAGTGGTTATACCACTTCTTCGAGTTTTAGAAGCTCTCATCTCTCTATCGAAATCTAGTTATGGGAGCTCTTCTATCTCGATCTAGGTCTACATCTAAAAGTTCCTTAGAGGTGTTTCTGTGTTCGTCCAACCTCTCCCGATCTAAATCTAAATCTCGGAGCTTGTTCAACCTAATTTTGGTATCTCTATACGGTAATGGTGTTGAGAACATTGGATTTAGAGGCCCTCCGCCCACTGTGCAAATTGTAGCTACTGGAGAAGGGGATTATGGTGTGTGCTCATCACTGATAATGATGCGAGATTCAATGATCGGCCTCTGTTTGTTCTGTTTTGATGTTGTGTGCTTATCACTAATGACGATGAAAGATTCGATGATTAGCTGTTGTTCATTCTGTTTTGATGCTGCGATAAATCCGTTCTTGTGAGATGAGAATATGCTTATCACAACAGTTTGTGCTTTGTTATTGTACTTTTTCTGTTTGGGATTTGCTTTGTTTTGAACCTCTCATCTATTTTGAGATATGGATCAAATATTTACTTTCGATAAAATTTTTTGGTTCCCTTGTCGTGAATTCGAAGCCTTATCAATTGCTACTTCCCTTTTGTCTGATATCCAAATCAAACAAAAAGTTGTCAATAATTCTTAGTCAAATGTTAGTGGCACGATAAGATTGTCCAACTCAGTTGATATAGGGAGATGCCTTTACCATCGAGGCGATGAATCTATCCAATATGTTCGCTAGAAATTGACTTGCGGTCTTCTATTTAATGGTCTTCCTAAGATTATTAGCAACCAAAACTCTACTAAGATGTTCACCTTCCATGGTCCTACCAAGTTCTCAAGAGTACCTCATTCAATCAGACTTATTCACCTTTTATCAATGTTCACCCATCTTGTAAACATCTTTTCATGGATAGTAGCAAAATCTTTCTTGTATCAACATCACCTGATTATGATAACATCCGCATATATCAAATAATAATTAATAGTTCGTCTTGTTATTTTCAAAATAACATAGGATGGTTTTCTCAACACATATGCTATTGTAGGCATCAACAACAGTTGGATGTTATTACCCAATAGGTTTTGTCTCGAGTATATTGTTGGTTTGAATTCGTTAGGGTGTCATGAATTCAACAAAAGACAACAAGAAAGCTCGTTGTCCATGTTGCCCATGTAGGAATGTTTGGACAAACTCTTTTGGATTGCAAAAAACATCTGATTGATCGTGGCATTGATAGAGGTTATAAACAATGAACTCATCATGGTGAGGATGTGATCAATCATCCATTAGATGGTGACGCTTCGAAATAATTTGATCAAATATGTTCTTGGTTCGCATCATAGTCAAGGAATGTAATATCACTATTCACCTTGGCAATTGACTGTTTCAATCCGCACGACAACCTCATCTCTACATGTAGCATGTGACATATTATAGCTTTCCCTTACAATTCCCCTCCTTGGAAGTGCATGAAGTCATCGTTCAATTTGCTTACATTATTAATACCCAGGCCATGCGCTCTCGAAAGAGCTACAAGAGATAGAGATGTGTACCTGCAGCCATTGATGGTTGAATTGAAAATGTGAGATTTTGTGTGGGACTATTACCAACTGTTCTGAAAATTTAAGCTGTTAGATAAAAGTGTGATTTATTATTTAAATATTCTAACAAAAAACACTAAGGGAAGGGGGATGCAAGGCAATTGATTATGTTGAATAACACACATTTCGTATGCATGTAGCCGTGCTTTGAACTTTCCTGCTTATGGTGACCTATCCAGATGATGTACGAGAGGTTATAAAGTATGCCTTGAGTGCAATGATGTATCACCTCTATGGAGATAACATTATATTATCTGTTACATGGGGAATCAGAGATCCTTAGATGGTAATCTTGCATGGAGGAGGAGTCGTAAATTTGACGGCAAGCATGAAGATTGATGGAAGCTTCGGGAGCTGCCCATATGAGAAATTTTTGAAATGTCTACCGAGGGATGAAGAGATCATATTTGGCAAGAGTGGAAAAAATAAGAAAGGTCAACTTATTGTAAAATGAATTTGGAGGACAACTACCTTAATGGTATAACCTTTTGCTTCGAGGTAATCTTGATGACAAGAACATCGAGAACAGCACATCTAACAAGATCTTCTATACCGTTCTGAACATTGATGGCAAGACCAAAGTGATGCGTGCATGAGAAGCGTGAATGCCTCTTGAGTGATAATGGATCATGCGTGATAGATGAAAGATAGAATGCAAGCGATCGGAACCAAGGCATACATTATGCACCACTAGCTAAGGATAAAGATCTGGACTGACGAAGTTCACCATTAAGGCTTACGGGACAAACCACCTGCCAATGATACATGATTTCGGGAAATAAGAATCTCACTACCAGGGCCTATAGGAAAGCCACCAGCCGAGGATATAACGCTTCTTGGCTCACTACCAAGGAAGAACTAACCTAGCGAGGATAGATATTTGCTAGAGACAAATCTCATATATTCTCGATATCCAAGTTGACTTTTTTACATTTGAGAATTCTTCTCTATTTATAGAGGAACTAATACATAGGAAATATACTAAGCATTAAAGACATGGGAACTACCCAAAAATTAAGACATGGGAACTAGAAAACAATTTTTGAACAAAAAAAAAAAACTAGAAAACAATTAAAGACCTATGAACTAGAAAACACATTAATGACATGGAGATTTGAAATCTTGACTCTTCGGCCTTGTGGTTCCTTTTCCATAATTCTTCCACTAACCTTGATAAAAAAAAATAACCATCTCAGGAGATCAATAAATATCCAAGGAAATTGCTCAGAATAGCCTCCCATCGATATATTGTTGCTTAACTTTGAGATCGGCAACTTAAAACCTGATCGGCAAGGGAAGAATCATCAACTCCTTAATTGATAACTTGATAGTCAATCGGCAACTATTCTTGCGTATCGATAACTAGCATGTAGAATCGACATGAGTTGATAGATAGAGCCCGATGCTCCCGCATCACGAAGATAACATGATGGCACGTTTAGACTTGAAAGACTTGTTTATAAAACCGGAGTTACATTTGGTTGAAGATGGTGAAAGACTATTAAAGCCAAGGTGCAACCTATACTTTAGATCGAGAATACCGGAAAAAGTTCCGGGAGTTTTTGAGATCTACAAGGTTCCATGATGGATATGTTCCAAATGTGGCTAAATGTGTTAGGCCGGACGAGAAAATAGCTATATTGAAATCGCATGACTTCCACGTGCTCTAGCAACATGGGCTTGCCATTGGTCTACGTGGGTTCCATCCCGATGTTGCAGCCCATGTCATGGACGAAGAGCCAGAGAGGAGTGCAAACCTCTGAATGGGTCTTGTGCAGCTTGCTTGCGGTTGCAGCTCGGTCACCTAATCCTCACGAGTGACGTTGGACCCTTGCCGGCGCTTGGCCAGAGCTGCCGATGCCTTTGATTTTTCTTTTTATTTTATTTCGAGCGGAAGTATGTAAGTTCAAGACAAAGATACCTTCAGGATTGGTGCAAAATTAGAGCTTCACAAAATTTTCAGAGTTGTCCACTTTGGAGCATGAAAAATAATTCGAAGTCCATGATGGGATGATACTCTATGTAAGGAGCTCTACACACCGGATTTCATGTTGAATTCCGTTCGTTGCGGCATATCAACGAACAATTGTTGAGCAACGATAGTTGTAAGGTTGTAAACTGTTTTTGTGGGACTATAGGGTCACTCCAAAGGCCAAGTACCAATGGACAAGAGGTATTGACTTCATCAAGCGATCCAAAGTTCAGTTTAAATTAGAGGTTGCCAAATGGGTTAAGGACCCACATTTTAAATCATATGTAATGGACTACACATAATATAGGTTACTTGAAATTGAATTGGGTTTGTCGCAATAGAGCCCAACTATAAAGTGGGCTGTAACGGGTATGTGATAAACCCATCTTTAATTCATACATGACTCGATTTGCGGTATTGGAATAATTCGAGCAGTCGGCCTCTCGTAGTAAAATTGTCAAAATATCAAAGCTTTGATGATGAACTTTAGATCATCGATCATCGGAGAGTTCATAATTGCACGTGCAAGTGTGTTCAAAGTTGCTTGGAAAATTGCAAAGAATTGGAGCCCAATTTGGACAGAATGTGGATTGGGATTAGGTCGGACCAGCTATGCGTCACTAAAATTGTATTACCGGTCAATTTGATTTGGGCCCATTTTCGGCCTACCCAAACTCGACCCGACCCATCTATCTGAAATGTATAGTGCATCCAAATGTTTGGAATTCATGATTCAATATACAATGTGATTTCTAAAATTTTAATTTGTTCAATGTGATCCATGAAGTATAGCCTAATGGGTAGTGTGTTTTAACTTTTAATTTGTTCAATGCAGTCCCTAAATTTTTTTGTACATGTTCAGTTTAGTCCTTGAACTATATGAAAATATTCAAATGTTGTCCTTCTATTAATTCAAATTTAGGGACAATATTGAAATTTTCATATATTTCAGTGATTAAGTTCAACATGTATAAAAAAATTTAGGGATCATATTGAACAGATTAAAAGTTTAAGGACCACATTGCACACTAAGTTAAAGTTCAAGGATAATATTAAAAAAATTAAAAATTTAGGGATCACATTACGTATTGAGGTAAAGTTCAGAAATTATTTGTGCCGTTGTTCCTTTTTGGAAAGTAATGAAGAACAGAAAAATGAAATCAGAAGGAAAGAAAAATATTCCGGTTCACCATTCGTTTTTCATTTGAGCCGAACCGGGTCAAGGAACCGACACCCACTGCACCTCCACTCTTTCTTTTTCAACTAAGATTGACACTCCCAGGCTTATCTTCAGCCGCAAGAAGAAGCGCCATTCTTCAAACCCTGAACTCTCTCCCTCTTCACATCACCCACTTCGCCACCTTGCAAGAACCACCGAAAGACCCAATACCCATCAACGAAGATGCTGCTCCAACCTTCTCTCCACAACCACAACCCTTCGATCTCGCCCTCCCTGTCCTACCCCCGCCCCCTGCAGTCGAAGGTCTCCCACATCATCCTCCGCTACAGCTCGATCCCCTTCAAGCCGCCGGCCATATCGTGCTCGGTGTCGCAGGTCCACAGCTACAACACGGTGGACTACGAACGGAGGCCGATGGTGAAGTGGAGCGCCGTGTTCAAGAGGATATCGCTCATGGAGACCCCCGAGCTCGGGGCGGCCACCGTGCTGAACCAGTGCGAGGGCGAGGGCAAGAAGCTGACCAAGTGGGAGCTCTGTCGGGTGGTCAAGGAGCTGAGGAAGTACAAGCGGTACAAGCCGGCTCTCGAGGTAAGAAAGAGACAAGATGAGTCGAGTCGGTTGGTTTGTTTCATGGTTTGATGAGATATGTGCTTTTATGTGTAACATATCGTGCCCTGTTAGGCAGAGTGATGGGTTTACGTGTTCCTTCAGGAGTTGGTTCTGCTCTTGCTGAAATTGCGACCCTGTTTTTAAACTTCAGGCCTTTGTGAGGTGGTTCATTTTTCTCTTCTTGTTTCTGTCAAGAATGAATATTGCTTGAGACAGTGGTGTAAATTTGGATAAATTGACCAAGATCCACTTGACATGGCCATGGGTTCGGTGGTTTGCAAGATGGGGGATTGGGACTTGGTTGGGATTCAAGGTCATAGACTTGCAAAATTGAACTAGCCAAAGACAAGCAGGCTGACCGCTCATTTCACTTGGGGAAAGGTTTCCAGATTGTGGTCCTTGTTCTTGTTTTAAGTACTTCTTTGTTTTATGATTTCGATTGCACAGGGTTTTTGTAGCATTGGCACGTTCTTTGGCATCCCTGAGAATGTTCTTTGGCTAGTTGATTCTGTTTGTTGGCGAACTTATAGATGGTTTAATATCTTGTACCCCTACTTGGTCTTTATATAAAGCCTTCATCACAGTCTCCGATTGTCATTTCTGTAAATGTCCATGGGATGATCGTGGGCTTTTAATGATGATTCGAAATAGTTAGAGAGGTGGTTGCACTGATAATTTGTGGTTGTCAACTCACTATTATTCTGCCCTAAAGCTGATGAACTAGCTTTTCTACGACAATTTCTTCATTCATGGATGCAAAATTTATTTCTCCATTTTGCAGTAATGATCCAGAAGTATCATTTAAAATGGGGAGAAGATAATTCATCACAAATTGGATCCTTTAATAGATTTTGGCTTTGTCCAATGTTCGATACCGCAAAATTTCTGCGGTTGCTGGTGTCATGTTAGCAGCTAATGGACTTTCTTTTTGGCCATTAGCAAGTAATAGACTTCAGGAGCCTTTTTATTGGGAAATAGCAAGGAATCAATTGGAAATGCATAATATGGGATAATTTGCACAGCTCATTGTTTATTCATAATGGTGTGCAAGTCCAAGTAAGATGGTTTGATCATGTTGAGCGAAGTAGTATATATGAATCCTTTTTAAAAGTAAGGCGAGCTGAGCACCAGCTGAAATAACTCCCTCATCAATCGGTAGAATTACTGCTGGGGAGTCTCTGTACTATACAATAGAATAAAAGCTGTCAAATCTCCCTTTGTCTTTGGCAGAAGATGTTCTCTCAGTAGAAATGGTTTATCTAGGATATGACAGTTATGTGATTTAGGATGTTGACAACTAACCTTGCGATTATGCTTAAACTGACATTTAATGTCTTTGCGTGTAGTTGTCTGCACTTCATGATCATTTCACAGTAAGCACTCATTTCACAAGTATGTAAACATTGCATTACTTTGGGCAAATTTAATTGCATGGTAACCTGTGGGCTTTCAGTTCCTCATACAAGTTTTATTCGAGTGTTCCTGCCTTAGGATGTTGGTTGTTCATTTCGCAATGTGGACTATCAAGTGGTATTATCAACTTCGTTTTTTGGACTTGTGGTAACATACTTTGGATGTACATTCCTATTGGTTTGGCTATGTCTGAAGTATCATTGCATGTTTGTGTCATTTGCGTGGATCGATGGCTGAGTGCATACTTCGACATCTCACTATTTGTGAAAATCGCTCATTGATGGAAACCCAAGGTTTTTGAAATTTATGGTCAATAGGAAAGACAACTCCGACACTCAGTCACGTGCACCATACCCCTTGAAATGGAATATATTCTGTTCATGTTGCTTGTTGCAGTCCCTGCTGTTAATTGTTTCCGTTGGGTTATATGTAGTTTCTATATGAAATTTTTTTGAAATCCTGCAATTAGTTGTAGATAACTGCAGCCAACATTTGACATGTCTTTCTTTCACTTAGCTTTAGTACAGACCATGAAATTCTTATATATTCTCCAGGTGTATGATTGGATGAACAATAGAGAAGAGAGGTTCAGATTATCTGCCAGTGATGCTGCCATTCAATTGGATCTGATTGCCAAAGTGCACGGCATTTCTAGTGCTGAAGATTTCTTCTTGAAGCTACCGGATACTTTGAAGGACAGAAGGATATATGGGGCTCTTCTCAATGCGTATGTGCGCGCCAAAGAGAAAGAGAAGGCAATATCCTTGATTGACAAAATGAGAGAGAAAGGCTATGCCATGCATGCTCTCCCGTTCAATGTGATGATGACCCTCTACATGAATCTTAAGGATTATGCAAAAGTTGATGCTCTGGTGTCAGAAATGATGGAGAAGAATATACAACTTGATATGTACTCGTACAACATTTGGTTATCATCTCGTGGGTCCCAGGGATCTGTGGAAGGAATGGAGCAAGTTTTTGAACAGATGAAACAGGACAGTACGATCAACCCCAACTGGACAACATTTAGCACGATGGCAACAATGTATATAAAGATGGGACAGCTGGAAAAGGCTGAGGATTGCTTGAAAAAGGTGGAGAGTCGAATCACTGGCCGAGATCGGATTCCTTATCATTATCTCATTAGTCTGTATGGTACTGTTGGTAACAAAGAGGAAACATATAGGGTATGGAACACTTACAAAACAGTTTTTCCCACTATCCCGAACCTTGGATACCATGCCATGATATCGTCTCTTGTCCGGATCGGCGATATCGAGGGGGCAGAAAAGATGTACGAGGAATGGCTTTCAGTGAGGACATCTTTTGACCCTAGGATAGGAAACCTTCTCATGAGCTTTTATGTTAAAGAAGGAAAATTGGACAAAGCCGAGGGCATTCTTGATCGAATGGTTGAATTGGGAGGGAAGCCAAATTCAAGTACGTGGGAGATTCTCGCAGAAGGTCATACTGGGGAAAGAAGGATTTCTGAGGCTTTTTCTTGCTTTAAGGATGCATTTTTAGCCGATGGGTCGAAAAGTTGGAGGCCTAAGCCGGTGACCGTGTCTTATTTCTTCGACCTTTGCGAGGAAGAAGGTGATTTGGAAACCAAAGAGGCTTTAGTAGGGTTGTTGAGGCAGTCGGGATTTCTTGAAGATAAAATGTATGCATCGTTTTTTGGCTTATCTAATGGAGCTCTGAAAGATGAAGCTGGATCCCAGGATGAGGGTGATGGATCCGAGGTGCTTCTCAACCAACTGCAGGGTAGCGTGTGATGCACTTGGGGTCTGCTTTATTGAAAATCTGTCATCTACTTGGAGTTGACAGTGAAAATTACTAAGCAGGGCATGGAAATCCAAGTTCTGAAGACCTAGACTCGAGCATTGTAGATATTGTGACAGAATAATCAGACCTCCTGTTTGCAGTCCCAGAATGTGAAGCTTGATATGCTTCTTGCTGTGAAGATGACCTTATGTACGCGGGAATCGCTCATGAGACCGATCCAGCTTCTTTATCTTATTTATTTTTTATAACTCTCCACCATTGTTCATCGACATCTGTTAAAAGCAATTTTGGCATCATGAAGCTTTCGGGTTCTGATGTAGTTCTGCTCTATTTTCGTGGGAGAAACATTTGAGTATCATTCTTCTGCCATGTCAACTGGTTTATGTGCAAAGAAGGTAAAGTTGCTGTTACTCTTTCATTTTGAGGAGTACATGAGCGTACATACACAGATATGTATGTGGAGAAACTCGTTTTCTGCACGTTTTTTTCTTGATTCTGCTCTTGCTGAACGGATTGGGCCATCAATTTGGATAACGCGCTTGGCCACCTCATTGTATTGGTAAAAGTTTTAACTATTGTAAGTTTTTTCATTTAAGGCCACCCTCCCTGCACTCTTTTGCTCCCCTTAGAGCAAATTTTAACATGCAAAATTTGGCAGATCATGATTGTTCTTAGTTACCTCATTAGGTAACCCTTTGGGGTTCTGGACCCTAGTCCCGCTTCATGTCCCGCTTCATGTCTTTTCGCCTTTAAAAATTAGGCCATGTTTCCTCCATTCGGGACTCTGATTGATAGGTTACAAATACGAGCATAATCTATATGCCGATTTAACAAAATGTGAATGTGGGTGATTTCGGTGTTTGTAGTTTCACTAACTCAGAAGGCTGTTCGAGGAAACTGAGAAGGAAAGTATGACGCTCGCGCAATCATAATCAATCTTTTCATTGATTACGCCTTTAGATCTTTAAGCTTTTTTTTTGGTAAGGGCCTTTAGATCTTTAAGCTTTAATCTCTCTCAACATTCAATTTCACTTCACTAAGTACTGCCGACAATTGAGAATTTGCCTCTACAGTCTGCGTTTTAAAATTGTTTATCTTCGGCGATTGTCATAACTCCCATAATTCCATTTTAGGAATCTGCACTACGTTTGTAGAGGTTCCGTGGCTCATTAAGAAAGGGGGTTCAATCGTTAGAACTAGAGGTGGCAAAACCCAACTTGGCATATCTGAAGACTGGCCGGATCCAACCCGGAATTAAGAGAAGCCAACAACACGTACCCGACTTGACCCGTATTTAAAATAACCCAAAGAACCTGAATCATTCAGCCATCCAAACCGATCCAACCTGAAGCCGAAGAAACCTAAAGACTAAATGCGCCCCAACATACCTAAATTCTAAGTAATCCAAATTGAAAACACCTGAATTTCACACTTCAAATTACTCTATGGTAAGATATAGTATATGCAAAATTATTTTGAAAGTATTTACCTACTGTTTCAAATATGAATATGTACGATAATTGACCAAAGCAACTGAAAACGAAAGCAAATCCAAAGCCAAAACCAAACTAGACCCGGATCAGAACAGACTTATACAGAATTTGAGAGCCTGAAACTAGTAACAACCAGAAACCGTCCAAAGTTGCTTTTGAAAAATAAAGAACATGAAATGAACCAAGGTTGAGATGCCTTTCCAACCTAACTTCTAATTGCAACTTCATAAACCAAAATGTCATGTATCTGAATATGGATCGATATCGAATTTAACCAATGCGCCCGTGTTGAAATTTGAGAACCCCAACTGATCTGACCTGCATTTGAAAATTAGACTACGCAAAAAGGAAACCAAAATGTTCCAAACCCACCCGATGCGCATCCAAAATTTTGTAAACCGAGAGGAACCAAAACCTACTAATGTCCCGAAATCAGAAGTAACTGAACCGAAACCGACCCGATTCGCATGTTTGCCACCTCTACTTAGAACTGCAGAACCGCGGTTATGAGTTACTCAAACATCTCATCCTTATTCAAAATAAATCACGTCTTATTAGAACTGATGCCCAGATATCCTGGTACTTGTTCTCTTGTGATCGCATTAGCGCGCACCTAGAACACAAACATTTCTGGCACTTAAGTTCCACTGACCTAACAAAGGTGATCATTAATAAACAAGAAGTTCCGTATTGACAATGGATAAAATATTACACTCTCTAAGCTTTCATTGCATACTTGCGGTAAACATAGATGACGACCCTTATGATGACTGGCACAAAAGCAGTGAGAGTGTTGTAGCAGAACTTGACCCTCTCGTCGGGCACGACGGCGAACAATGCTGATCCATACGTAACCATCATCGAGACCGTCACTGCCACGATCTCCAGCTGGAAAGGGTATTGGTTGGTGAGCAATATGATCAAGAGGACGGAGGTGGCAAGTGCAAATGTGTTGAAGACCAAGAAGACGTGAAAGGGCACCAAGTGGGTGGAGTAGATTGCGTTGCCCGCGTTGTGCCCCTGGTTATCTTGCCACACCCCACCCGGCGGGTTGACCCCGGCCTGGAAGGTGTCCGCAGCATCAGGGTGGCAGCGAGCAAGAGCATGTTGCGGATGTCGGTTTGGGCTGGGTCCCGTCGGATGTAGTTGAACGAGCTCCTTCTAGGGTTGATGCTGTCTTCCAAGGGGCTAGCCGTTTTCATCAAAGTACATTGAGCTAGAGAAAGAGCGATTACAATGCCGAGTCCGTGAAAGCTTTTATTTAGGCAACAACGTTCGGCACGAGTCAACGCTAAGTGTAATCAAGTCGTCTTATTTTAGCAATTACAGTTTTCTTGCAACTAGTAAATTTCTTTTCTTGTGGTAAACAACTAGTCAATTTCTTTTTCATTCCTCCCAAGACGTGTTCAGCTAATTAACCACACTCGGACTAGCCCCATGAGAGATTAGCAATGTTCAATTGTGTCGATTTGACGCTCGAAGTCTTGCATTTCTCACTTTCTTCTCACTCTGCAACTCGCAAAAATGTAGATCAAACTTGGGGGATTGTTGATCGATAAGAGTTGGAAGAAATGGAGGATATTTGTAGAAGAAAACGTTTTGAAAGCGAAGTGACCGAGAGGTGTCTTGGTTTTAAGATCTAAGGAATCTTTGTCGGTACAAGAAAAAGAAGCAACGCAAGAAAGCAAACATATAAATGCGATGTGCGAGTGGTGGGATTTTCCCATTTGACCTAATCTAATAACACGCGAATTAGAAATGAGCATGGTTCAAGGGTGGAATCTAAGACTTGAGAACCTGACCGGTGAAAATCTGTAGGTTTTAGGTTCCAAGGTATGCAGGGTAGGTTCTAGGTTCCAAAAATTAAAGAACTTATTTTGACGGGTAGGTTCCAGGTTCTAGGTAGGTGAAACCTGGAATCTGAAACTTGAAACATGAACTTAAAAGAGTTTTTTGTGTTTTTTCTTGATCTATGTCTTTGCGTAATCCTGCGATGTTTCATAGTGTTAGATGATGAGTGTATAATCTGCTACCACTAGTATAAGCTTTTATTTTATGACTTGTTAATATTTCATATTTTTCGTGTGTCTAAATATAAGTTGAGGTTAGTGAATCATAGCAGCAAGTGGTGGTCATTAAAGGTGATAATTCACTGCAATTATTCAATTAATAATACAGGTGGAAACTTGGATAGACTTTGGAACTGACCCTCGAATATGTGATATCCTAGGTTGCAGGTTCTAAAAAATGAGGAACCTATTATCATAGGTAGATTCTAGGTGGAACCTATACGGAGCATGGAACCGTTCACCCCTAATATCAATTCACGCAATGACTTCTAATTTTAATTGTATTTATCTGAACCGTAATGCTAGGAAAACTAGTCTTTTGTATTCTCTTTGGTGAATGACATGTTTATTCAGTATTGTTGCGTTCATTTTCATAATGAAATAAAATAAAAAATATCATGTTAGACCCTGGAACCTATGACAGGGTAGGTTCCAGGTTTCAAGTTTCAACGGGTAGGTTCCATGTTCCAAAAAATGAGGAACTTGTACCCGACGGTAGGTTCTAGGTTTCAAGTGGAACCTGGAACCGCTCACCCCTAATGTATGATCACAAGTTTTCTTTTTTCTTTCGCAGTACTGTAAACATAATTTTCTTTTTCGTGGGCCAAACAACATCAACAAGTAGTAAAGGCAACATGTTTCTCTAGGATCAAATATACGGGATTTGTGGCTAACATCGGATTGTGTTTGAGTAACCGTTTACGTTGTCGATGTTATGCGAGAAATTGTTAGGTGATGGAGGTCTTCGTCTCCTTCGCTGCCCGCCTGTTTCGTGGCTCTGTGATCGGGCTTCGATTCTCTTCCTTCTCTCTATATATACACTTTAAGCTTAAGAACGAAAGCATATGTACATATGGGTTTTTCCTTTGACATATCGCGTAGCAGCCAAGGCCAATTCACATTCATGCAACATATCAGATGTTAAGCTGTGACATGGTCTGTTCAGCAGCCGTTCTTCATGATCCAATCTGGATTTGGTCCACGTCCATCGACTTATTACATGCAAAGACGGAGAGACGTTGTTAGGTGTTGAGAGGGGCAGTCTCGCTTTCAAATCATTTGGAAGGTACACTAAATGTTCCATTTAAAAAATAAATAGGGTTAATACCACAAAAAACTCTAAACTGGTATACCTGTGATAAATTTACTCTCAATTAGTTTTTGTTAAATTTTACCGTTAAATTGCTGAATTACATGACAAGTGGCAGTTAACGGTTGTACCGATTTGGAGTTTTACCTTCCGTTTGTTATATGTTGTACCGGTTTGTGATTTTTTGTCGTATTAATTCAATTTAACGGAAGATAACAGATGGTGAATTTGTCATAATTGTACCAGTTTAGGGTTTTGGTGATTCAAAAAATAGTTTGGGATAAATTTGTCACAGATGTATTAGTTTTGGGTTTTTGATGGTCAAAAAATTAATTTGAGGTAAATTTGTCATAAGTGTACCAGTTTAGGATTTTTCGTGATATTAACCCAAATAAAAAATACAAATATAAATTGATATTTTTCCTGGTGCTAGTAATTTTTTTAAAAAAGTTGTTAATGGTGTAAAAATTATTGACTACCCTTTAGTTCGTTGGAAAGTTACCAACATTTTTTTTTTGAATTTATTAACTTTTTATTGATGGTGTACAAATGAGGAAATTACCAAGAAAATCCTAAACTAACTATAGCACCAATTTAGTCTGAAGCCTTTCAAATTGGCCAATTTAGTCATAGATTTTTTGAAAATTTGCCAATATAGTCCATCGAGCCAATTTTGGCTGAAAATCGTTGACGTGGAGGTTGGCCGTTTTAAGTGGTACGGTCGGCGATGACGTGGACAATTTTTTAATAATTTTTTTGATTTTTTCCATTCATTTTCCTTTCTTTTTTTTCCCTTTCCGTATTGCCAGTGGCCAGCGGGGGTTGGCCTCACTTGGCCGAGAGTTGGCCTCACTTGATCTAGTGAGGGTGGCCCTCACCTAGGCAAGGGTCGGCACCCAGGCGAGGCCAGTCATTGCTTGTGGCAAGTGGTCGGCGACTAGCCACTAGCGAAAAGCAAAGGGAAAAACAAAGAGAAAGAAAAGAAAGAAAAGAAAAAATTCAGAAAATTATTAAAAATTACAAAAATTATCCATGTCAGCGACGGTCAAGCCATGTAGCACGTTTAGAGTCCACGTCAGCAATTTTTGGCCAAAATTGACTGAATGGACTGCATTAGCAAATCGTCAAAATATTTATGACCAAAATGGCCAAATTGATGAAAGGTTTAGGACTGAATTAACATAAATGGAATAGATTTAATACTTTCTCAGTAATTTCCACGTATACAAATCATCAAATTTTCTTATTTTATACTAACTTTTATTTGTCTTTCTTACCAATATCAAATTTTTAATTTTTATTTGAGCGACTTACCAACTTTTTTCCAATTATTAACATTTATTTGGCTATTCGAATTTATCGACTTTTTTATTATCATTTACTCATTTTCATTTATCTTTCTTACCAACCCATTAAATTTAACAATTCTTATATATATTTACCAATATTTATTTGTGTCACTTATGAGCTTTTGTCATAAAAAACGAAAGATCTTATTTATACTTCCTTTGTTTTGTCATTTTCGAAAACCTATTCAAGGAATAGAATTTCCTCTCGATTTTCATGGGCAGCTGGGGATCAAAAAAGGAAAAATAAAGAGTAGAGAATAAGAAAATTTTCAAAGCTGCTCGTATTAGGCCTACTTTCTTGGGCGGACATGTTATGCAGCTGGCTGCGATTATATATATTCTCTTGCCCCACTTCACACATCAATCCTAGTACGAATCCTCATGCTCATTATTCATCTCTCATAGTCATATGACTCCAATGTTTTATCCTTCATTCAATATCACGACTAGAATGTCGTGAACACAAGCCCTTGTTTTCGATTATTCTGATTTGGACCTCTCATTTCAAGATTGCAAACCAATCAAATTTATTCGGAGATGCTGTCGTGCGGCCTTAGCAAAAGCTTTTTTTAATAAGTAAGAGTGAAGGAGTTACTTTATTTCACAATGAATTACTTTTGAATAATAAGTGAAGATGAGTTTTAAGTCAATTTTGAATTATCGTAACATCGATCCCGGTCCGCTCTAGGTGAGTTATGCCCATAGAAGGAATGCCCCGAGCGACTACACAAGGGGGTAACCATTTGAGATGAATTACTTAATATAGTCTTTGTCACCCAATGTGAGGTTTTGACTGCTCTTGGAGACATGGGCAAAATGATGATGTCCATTTAACCTTAGATTAACAAGATTCCAATCCCTCCCTCCTTTCCTCCCTCACTGTCATTTGTTGGTGTGATTAATAAGACATATCCGTTTTTCATAAATTGTCATTTATGAAAAAGACCACAAACAATGATTGGTCTATGTACAGGCGATTTATATCTCTAGCAATGATCCACTAAGTCCAATAAACTGCTTACTAGATTCAAAATTTGCATAGAGAGAAAGAGCTTCACCAACGAAACATTGCTTGTTCTACTCAATAGACCATCAAAACCTAAGTCTATTGCGGCTTCTACAATTGCACCATTAGGCTCTTCTTTTTCTTTTCTTTTTTTTGTCTTCTGCTTACGGACATGCCAACTGAAAACACATGATTTTTTAGAGCTAATCCACTCAAAACCAAGATGCATCGCTTCTAACTACCCAAGGTAAAAGTTACATTTTCCACCGGACTTCACAATGACATACTTGCAAATTTGAATGACAACTCTCATGACAATCGGAGAAGCGGCATATGGACAACGACTGTTGGAACTTCACCTTCACCGTTGGCATGATCCCAAAGATCGAGAGCCCGTAAGTCATCAGCATCAAGACCGTCACAATGATCACCTCGAGGAAGAAAGGGAAGCCCCAAGTGAGGTTGATTATGAGTAAGATTGATGAGGAGAGGGCGAGCGTGTTGCATGTCAAAAACATGTGGGAGGTCAAAATACCCTCCATCTACCAAAATTTACTGCAAATTTAAAAACACTCATTTTGGAATTCTCGTAATGACCCAAATTTAAAGATGCACTCCGTCAAGAAGCTAACTTTATATCACAATGAATACTTCCAAAACAACAAGCAACAATGGGTCGTAAGTCAATTTGGAATTATGGTAATAACCAGGCTCGCTCTATTTGGGTAATGTCTTCGAAATGAATATTCTAAGCGACAGCACAAAACGGCGACTATTTAGGAGTAGGTGTTTATTTATGAATTGCTTAATAAAATCTCCCTAGTCTAACATGAGAATTTAAGATGTCGCAATTGCATCCCGCTTAAACAAGCGAAACTTTTGAGAGTCATGATTAACAAGATTATAATCCGTCCCTTGCTTCCTCCCTCACAAGATCTAAAGTTTGAGACGTCATATCTCTTTTTCTTAAGTTGTAGGTGGAAGACAACAAAACAATGACCGTTCTGTATGCAGACGATTTATATCTCTAGCAAAGATCCTCTAAGTCTAATAAAGTTCTAACAAGATCTAAAGTTTCCGTACAGAGAAAGAGAGCTTCCCGAATGAAACATGCTTATTCTACTCCGCATTACCATTAAAACCAAAGTCAATTTTGGCTTCTACAACTGCAAAATTATGCCTTTTTCTTCCCCTCTCTTTTGCTAACTGAAAGCACATGATTGTTGAGATATGACTTTTAACTACCCAACTTACCACTTACTGCAGCTCTTAATGACAACCCTCACAAGGAACGTGATGGATACTGGGTTTTATGGGTGGGCTGCCCATGTTGGGCTAACCCAGCCCATGACCCATTATAAGGGCCCATCTCAAGTAATTGCTTTGGCGATTACTTACCCATCATATAACTGCTCTTAACAGTTTTATCTTGTGGGATAAAGGGAACAGTTATCAATAGAGAAAACGTGTCATAGAAAAGAAAATGATGTTCTGACGTTCTAAATATATACGACGTTTTTGCTCTCTGCTCTTCATCCTGACGTACTATCCGAAGAACTCTCGAGTCTGTAATTGATGGCATATAATCCGTGAAAACAAGATATGTTCCGTTGAGTGATGTACCTATTCGATTAGCGTTTGTATTTTTTTTTTTTGGGCATGTTTCTCGTTTGTTGAAGTCTCGGTTTTAGGAACTGTTTCTTAATTGAACGAGATTAGGAATAAGTTTCCATCAGAACGGAACCGCTAGAATGGACAAGTAGTACCGGAAGTTCACCGTCTTCATCTCCCTCGGTGTTATCACCAAGATTGAGGCTCCGTAAGTCACCACCATAAAGACCGTGGTAGCGACCACGTCGAAGAAGAAAGGGAAGCCCCAGGCGAGGGAGATTATGAGGAGGATCGACTAGGACAGAGCAAGCGTGTTGCACGTCAGGAACACGAAGAAGGACATCTCATCCGAGGCATAGATGGCTTGCCCCGCATTGTGCTCGTCCTGCCAGACCCCGCTGGGGCGATTCATGCCAGCCTGGAAAGTCATGGCGGAGATCCGGGTGGCCACCACGAGGATGTAGTTGCGGACTTGAAGGGGGTCATTACGCTCATCGTGGTCGAAAAGGGAATTGAAGAACCCCGTTATGGGAACGCGGCGAGGCATGGCCATGATTTGCATTGAAGTATATCTTATGGGTGAGTGAATCGCTTTAAAAGAGGCGAAATCGGAAAAAGCAAGACCAGGAAGTAGAAATTGACACTCAAGTCATTGTTTACCATTTCATGGACAGATGGGGACCAAAAATGGAAAAATAAAGAGTAGAGAATAAGGAAATGTTCAAGGCTGCTCCCCACTCTCTTGGGCGGAGCATGTTATACATCTGGCTGCGATTATACATATATTAGGTCTCCAATTCTCTCGCCCCACTTCACACATCAATCCTAGTACGAATCCTCCTGCTCATCATTCATCTCTCATAGTCATTTGACTCCAATGCTTTATCCTTCGTTCAAAATCACGACTAGAATGTCGTGAAAACAAGCCCTTGTCCTAGGACAGTTCAATTAATTCTGATTTGAACCTCTCATTTCAGGATTGCAAATTAACACCAATCAATTACTTTGGAGATGCTGTTGCGCAACCTTAGCAAAAGTTTTTTTGATAAGTATGAGTGAAGGAGTTACTTTATTTCACAATGAATTACTTTCGAATAACAATTGACGATGGGTTTTAAGTCAATTTTGAAGTATTGTAACATCCCGGTCCGCTTCAGGTGGGTAGAAGGAATGCCCTGAGTGACTACACGTGGGGTTAACAACTTGAGAGTGGATACTTATTTATGAATCACTTAATATAGTCTCTCTCACCTGATATGAGGTCTTGACAAGTTAATAAAGCAATTTATTCAAAGAAGCGGGAATTTGAGATGTGACAACTGCTCTTGGAGACATGGGCAAAATGATGGGGAAAAGTGCAAAAAAAGTCATAACCTTTTGTATTTGTGCCAATTTAGTCATAAACTTTTTTTTTGTGCCAATTTAGTCATAAACCTTTTGCATTGGTACCAATTTAGTCCTAAACCTTTTTTTGGTGCCAATTCAGTCATAAACCTTTTGTATTGGTGCCAATTCAGTCATAAATCTTTTTGTCTTTGTGCCAATTCAGTCATTCCGGTCAATTTTGGCTGGATTTTGCTGACGTGGACACTAGCCGGTCGGCAGCCGATCACCGACGCTGACGTGGACAATTTTAATAATATTTTAATATATTATTGAATATTTATTTATTTATTCTTTTTTTTCCCTCCCCTCCCTCTTCGTCTTACTGGTCGCTGGACTAGTGACTGGCCAGAGGCCAGAGGTCGGCGATGATGCCGAAGCGCGATAGAAATTAGGCTAAACAGAAGAATCGAAACGATAACGAGGAACAAACTGTTCTCTCAATCGATTAACAATCGATAAGTTTTCAAAACATCCAAAAACTACTGCCTCTCAAAACCCTAAAAACGAGTTTATAAAGGGTGTTAACCCTAATGACAAAAAAAAAACGCAAAAAATACAAAAATACCCTTAATTCGAAAATTACTAAAATAATTAAAAAAAACTATCTAAACGACCCCGAATCGCGAAAATCCATCATTAATCATAGCCGTAGGCTATGTGTATTGATCAGCACGCCGTTTCGCTTCAGCCGACCAAATTTGAGCTCAATCCAACATCGTTGACTTCAAGCCCGCCGGTTCGTCCAATCGCATAACGGGTCCGTCGGTCCCCTAAGTGCATCATCCTCCCCTACTAGAGAAAGATTCGTCCTCGAATCTGCTTCATCTTCATTGTCATCAATCTCTTCAGGGTCTTCTTCATCTTCAGTGTAGTAAGGTGACAAATCTGCTACATTAAAAGTTCCAGAAACATTGTGCTCACCCGGCAACCCAGGTGGCAACTCTTCCAGTACGACATCAGCAAACTCCTCAAGCAAGGGCAGAACTTGGGTAGGAATTTCGAGAATGTCAGAATTCCGCTCCATCACCACAATGGCAAAAAGCTCAAGCGCGTTCACTGCCTCTTCTTGAAATTTTGATTTGGAAAGCAGATTACTTTCCCTTCTTTTCTCAAATCTGAAGGACCTAGGGTAATAGTTCGGCCATCCTTCTTGAAGGTATAAGTATTTTTGAAACTATCATGCTGTGTCTTTCTGTCAAACTGCCACGGCCTCCCCAATAAAATATGGCAAGCATCCATTGGGACTACATCACACCACACCTCATCGATGTAATTTTTTCCAATCGAAAATTGCACAAGACACCTACACCACATTCTCGCAACTCCCACCATCTATTATCATGCTGCATACTTTTCCTCTACTAGTACACTTAGTATGAAAAATATTATGTCTAAGCCACGATTCATCATCCGCTACAGCAACATTTAATATTCTTTTAACGACTAGGGACTCACCAGAATCAGCATAGATAATCTCTTCCTGTTCCGCATCCGCATCCTCTTCTTCGCCTTCAGATTTATCATAAACTGGGCCTTCATAAAAAACTGGATTATTAACAAGCGTCACAATCTGTCGGTTCGGACAATCAGCAGCAAAATGCTCGAATCCCCGACACTTGAAACACCGCTTGCAGATGTTTCCGCTTTTCCTTGGGATTCTTTATCTGACCACTTGGAACTGCTGCCTGACCACTTAGAATTATTGCTCTTTCTTTTAAAGTGCCCCTCCACCTTTAGGACTAGTCTGCACACATCATCATATGTCCAATACTGCTGTAATTGGACAACATCAGAGATCTCATATCGCAGCCCTGCCAGATATCGTGTAATCGTCTGCTCGTCTTCCTCCGCCACATCACAATGCATCCGCAAGTGATCAAATTCTTCTGTAAATTTCTCAACTGTTTTATCACCTTGCTTGACGTTATGATACTCGATAAACGCCTCTTGCCTATAATGGGTAGGCAAAAAAATTTTCTGCAATAACTTTTTCATCTTCTCCCAGCGATTTACTTTTGATTTCCCCTCTCTAGCACGCTGCCTTTTCACATGCTCCCACCATATCGAGGCATGTTTTCGTAATCTAATAGTCACTAATTTAACTTTCTGCTCTTCAGTCAGATCCTTAATATCAAAGATCCTCTCTACTGTATGTAACCAATCAATAAACTCATCAGGATGAGCCTTACCATTAAATTCGGGAATCTCGATCTTCATCCCGAAATTTTGAGAAGAGCGTTGATTTCCAAGTCGTACTCCTCGATTCCGCCCCTGGTTCATAACCCTGAAAGGATTTACGTCCTCCTCTTCATCATCGGATGGATCCTCAGATTCTGCTTCTTCTTCGGATTGAACGCCCAATCTCGCCTCCACAAGTTGTCGCTCCAAATCCTGGATTCGTCTTCTCTGTTCTTCAATTTCTACGTCTCGCAGATCTCTTAGACGCGGTTGGTCGTCTACTTCGGAACGCCTCCACGCCCCGGCCACCACGAGCCCGCCGTCCACAACCGCAATTACTCGTTTCCGCCATTGATTCAAGCAACTCGTTGCTCGATACCAATTGATGCCGAAGCCGTGATAGAAATTAGGCTAAACGAGAAGAATCGAAACGATAACGAGGAACAAATTGTTCTCTCAATCGATTAACAATCGATAAGTTTTCAAAACATCCAAAAACTACTGCCTCTCAAAACCCTAAAAACGAGTTTATAAAGGGTGTTAACCCTAATGACAAAAAAAAAAGCAAAAAATACAAAAATACCCTTAATTCGAAAATTACTAAAATAATTAAAAAAAAACTATCTAAACGACCCCGAATCGCGAAAATCCATCGTTATTCATAGCCAAAGGCTATGCGTATTGATCAGCACGTCGTTTCGCTTCAGCCGATCAAATTTGAGCTCAATCCAACATCGTTGATTTGGGAAGGAGGAAGGAAAAAAAAGAATTAAAAGAATTCAAAAAATATTAAAATATTATTAAAAGTTCTCCACGCCGGCAAAATCCTGGCCAAAATTGTTTGGAAAAGATTGAATTGGCACAAAGACAAAAAGGTTTATGATTGAATTGGCACAAGTGCAAAATGTTTAGGACTGAATTGACACCAAAAAAATGTTTAGGACTAAATTGGCATAAATACAAAAGGTTTAGGACTGAATTGGCATCAAAAAAAGGTTTAGGACTGAATTGGCACTAATGCAGAAGGTTTAGGATTTTTTTGACACTTTTCCCCAAAATGATTATGTCCATTTAACCTTAGATTAAAAAGATTCCAATCCCTCCCTCCCTTCCTCCCTCACTGTCATTTGTTGGTGTGATTAATAAGACATATCTCTTTTTCATAAATTGTCATATAAGACCACAAACAATGACTGGTCTATGTACAGACGATTTATATGTCTAGCAATGGTCCACTAAGTCCAATAAACTGCTTACTAGATTTAAAATTTGCATAGAGAGAAAGAGCTTCACCAATGAAACATGCTTATTCTACTCGATGGACAATCAAACCTAAGTCTATCGTGGCTTCTACAATTGCAACATTATGCCCTTCTTTTCTTTTCTTTTTTTTTTGTCTTTTGCTAACGGACATGCCTACTGAAAATACATGATTATTGAGAGCTAATCCACTCAAAACCAAGATGCATCGCTTTTAACTACCGAAGGTACAAGTTATATTTTCCTCTGGACTTCACAAATTCACAATGACATAATTGCAAATCCGAATGACAACCCCCACGACAATCGAGGCAGCCGCAATGGACAACAACTATCGGAACTTCACCTTCTCCATCGGCATGATCGCGAAGATCAAGGCCCCGCAAGTCATCAGCATCGAGACCGTTACAACAACCACCTCGAGGAAAAAAGGGAAGCCCCGAGTGAGGTTGATTATGAGGAAGACTGATGAGGAGAGGGCGAGCGTGTTGCATGTCTAGAACACGTGGAAGACTGTCATGTCATGTCCGAGGTGTAGATGGCCCACCCCACCTTGTGATTGTACTCGTCCTCATGCCAAACCCTCGCAAGGGGGGTTGGTGCCGGCCTGGAAAGTCACAGCGGCGATCAGGGTGGCCACCACGAGGAGGTAGTTGCGGACCTCATCGGGCTTATTTTCTCCCTTCAGGGTCGAACAAGGGCTTGGAAAACTTCCTTATGAAAATTGGTGTGGCGGATTGCTCATGATTTGCATAGAAGTAGGAGGGCATGTCTTATAAACGAGTGAATCGCTTTAAAAGAGGCAAAATCGGAAAGTAGAAACTGACGCTTGAGTCATTGTTTACCATTTCTTCTTTTCTTGGTTTAGAGATTGAGAAGAATCAAAGTCGCGTTTGGCTATTAGTGGTACAGTGTCTTGCGCACATGGGTGGCTTCTCATTTGCCAAAATTGCAACAAAGCTGAATGTTGATTGCACGAGAGTCCCGACCTTTGTGGACCACGCCTGTGAGTGGGAACCTTTGTGTCATCATGAAAACTAATTGCTCTTTTGTGTCCATTTTAGAAACGTGAACTATTCCCTTCTTTATTTCTTCACTCTAATTTCACTTCTATCCTTTTCTTTCAAATATTAAGGTATTCTACCATTAGGTGATATTGGACCAAAATACCATTTGTCTAGGAGAATTTACAGCAAATTTAGAAACATATCATTTTGGAATTATTGCAACGACCCAAATTTAAAGACATACACCATAAATGAGTTAACTTTATATCACGATGAATTACTTTTAAACAAGAAGTAACGATGGGTCTTAAGTCAAATTGGAATCATGGTAACAACCCTACCTGCTCTATTTGGGTCGTGTCCTCAGAAGGAATATTCTAAGTGAAACATAAAACGACGATTATTTAGAAATAGGTGTTTATTTATAAATCACTTAGTATGGTCTCCCTCGTTTGACATGAGATCTTAAAACGTAAATATGAAACATGCTTATTCTACTCCGCACTGCCATCAAAACCAAAGTCAATTTTGGCTTCCACAATTGCAACATTACGCTCTTTTTATTCCTGTATTTTGCCTACTGAAAACACATGATCGTTGAGATATGACTTTTAATTACCCGACTTGCCACTTTCCTGCTCCTTATTTGACAATTTGCTCATGACATACTTGCAAATCTGAATGACAGTCCTCACGAGGACCGGAGCTGCCGCGGTGGACAACAAGTACCGGAACTTCAACATCTTCCTCTCCCTTGGGGTGATTGCGAAGATCGAGGCCCCGTAAGTTATCACCATCGAGACAGTGGCGACAACCACCTCAAGGAAGAAAGGGAAGCCCCAGGTGAGGGAGATAATGAGGACGATTGATGAGGAGAGGGCGAGCGTGTTGCACGTCAGGAACACGAAGAAGGCCGTCTCGTCTGAGGCATATATGGCCCGTCCCACCTTGTCCCCTTCCTGCCAGACCCCGCCCGGGGGGTTTACGCCAGCCTGGAAGGTCACGGCAGCGATTAGGGTCGCCACCACGAGGAGGACGTTGCGGACCTCGTCGGGCTTATCTTTCCCCTTGTGGTCGAACAAGTTCTTGAACTTCTGCCTTATGGAGCATGGGCGCGATGTAGTGGCCATGATTGGCATGGAATTAGAAGGGTATGTCTTATTAGCAGTTGAACGGCCTTAAAAGAGGCAAAACCGGAAGAAGCGATACCAAGAAGTAGAAATCTACAATCGAGTCATGGTTTACAACTTCTTTGTCTTGGTCTCGAGACTGAGAAGAATCAAAGTCGCGTCTGGCTATTGGTAGGGATTTGAGTGGCTCTTCAATTATTGAAATTGCAATGAAGCTGAATGTTTATCGCACGAGAGTCCCCACCTTCGTGGACCAGGCCTGTGTGTGAGTGGGAACCTTTTTGTCATCGCGAAAACCAATTTGTTCTCGTGTCGTTTTCCGGAGGGGAATCTAAAGTTAGGTCGTTTTTTCTAGCATCAATTCCGGTTCGTGAATGCTTTGATCATTTGAACGATTGGATCGTATGAAGTCTACATGAAAGCCACGTGAAACGAAATCAATTATTGATATGTAATAGGTGCGCGTACACCCTGGCGAAGACAATTTGTAGTGGGTTTTTGATGGTTTTTTTACCATCAAAAACCCCAAACTGGTACATCTGTGACAATTTTACCCTGAACTTACCACAAAAAACCCCAAACTGGTACATATGTGACAATTTTACCATGAATTAAAATTTTAATATTTTTATTTTTTTATTTTTTTTCGAATTTTTATTTATTTATTTATTTATTTCCTTTTATTTATTTTTTCTTTATCTTCAACCTCTGGCCGATCGCCTGTCCGGCGATGCCCGTGGAGAGCAGAAGCTGGGCAGCGAGCCGCCTTACGGCGCGCCGGACGAGGGCCAGCTCCTCCCTAGATCCGTGAGGGCGACCCTCGCCGGTATCGAGCGAGGCCGCCCTCGCTGCGTCCGAGCGAGGGTCGCCCTCGCGGCGTCGGCGAGGGCCGCCCTCGCCGGCGGCTCGAGCGAGGGCCGCCCTCGCCCGCCCAGGGCAAGGGCGATCCTCGCCCGGCTCGGGCCGCGAGCCGAGGGCGGCCCTCGCTGCGTCGGGCGAGGTCGCCCCTCGCCGGCGTCGGAGGGCCGCCCTCGCCGCGTCGGCCGAGGTCGTCCTCGCCCGCCTAGGCAAGGCGACCCTCACCCGACTCGAGGCGAGGGCGACCCTCGCTGCGTCGGCGAGGGTCGCCTCGGCGGCCCTGGCCGAGGCCCTCGCTGGGCGGCGAGACTGCCCTCACTGAGTCGGGCGAGGCGGCCCTCGCTAGATCCGGCAAGGGTCGCCCTTGCCGAGTCGAGCGAGGGCGGCCCTTGCCCGGCCCGCCGAGGCGGCCCTCGCGGCTTAGCCTGCGGCGGTCGGCGGATGGCGGCCGCCGAGGTTGAAGTGAAGAAAAAAAAATAAAAGAAAAGAAAAGAAAAGAAAAATTCAAAAAAATTCAAAAAAATAATATTAAAAATTAGTTAGGGTAAAATTGTCACGGGTGTATCAGTTTGGGGTTTTTTATGGTCAAAAAAATAGTTTGGGGTAAATGTGTCACAAGTGTACCAGTTTAGGATTTTTCATGGTATTAACCCTAATATAAATACCCACAACTTTTTTTTTTATATATATATCCTCTATTACAGTTCCATCCAAAGTATATTTGTCACACTGATATAAGTTCACAAAAAAAAAAAAGTTTGGTGTAGGGTTTTAGTGACACAAAAAAAATGTTTGGGTTATTTGTATCAAAATGGACATAATTTGAGAATTTTTGTGGTACTAACCCTTCTTTGTTTTCTACTCCGATTTCACTTTTATCGTTTTCTTTCAAAGATTAGGATATTCTACCGTTAGGTGGTATTCGATCAAACTACCCTTTCTTTGGGAAAATTTATACCAAATATCAAAACATGCTCACTTTCCCTTTCTCTCTCTCTCTCCCTCCCCTTTTCCCTCCCCACTATTGGCACTAATACACCCGCACAACGGGACTTGCTATCGTGCCACCGTCATCGGACCCTATCCCATCGCTGCCCACGTCTACCATCATCACTATCGAGCTCACGCTCATCGGCGTGGCATTGTGCTTTCTCTCCCCAGTCTTCGCTTCTATCCACGTCAAGGACAGAGAAAGACTCGAGGGTTGCAGCCCCACAGGTCACCTCACATCCTTGGACAAAACCAAATCTGGCATTGCCCTAGGCAAGACTCGGACTTGGCGTGGAAGCCCGTCCCGACGTACAATGTAGAGGGGGACGTGTGCAGAGGGATAAGTGATGTTGATGGGTGCCTAGGAATGGGCCCCTGGCAATGGCGGCATTGTCGCGGGGGGTGGGGTGGGGTGGGGGGTGGTGTGTTTGTGGGGGGGTTGTCGTTCATAGTTAGCGTGTGCATGGGTGACTATGCCGATGGACCTTATGGCAAAATGGTAAAGAATAAATAGGGAAAAAAAAGTGAAAAGATGAGGAAAAAAGTATGACCGATCCGAGCCTTCCAATTTCCTTGTTATTGATGTGTCCGGAGCTTAGGGGTAACTTAACCTAACGTTTAAAGGATCCTAACTCGAGACGATCTCTATCCTTCTTTCAAAACCACTAACTTGCACTTTGAGTTTTGTTATTCGGCTTCGGAATAATAGACACAATCATCCACCACTATCATGGAATCGTCGTTCTTTTCAGCCAATAATTCTCACTTTTCGATGTCCACCCACATAAAATCCCAACTCTTAGCCCTCCAACATCTTTACCGTCCTGCCTCATCAATCTCCCTACCTTAGAGGGTGGCCTTGCTCTCTGAACCTCCACAATTTTGCCACCATAGGTCTCTGTCTCCTCTACGACCACTCAGATAATCTTTCTCTAACCCCTCCATGGCTCCGTCTGCAACTTTGCCGCCTCAGCCTGGTGAGAACATCGCGGACCATAGACAAGAGGTCAACAATGATTGTCGCGACCGAACTCCCGAGCCCTTTTTTATCGAACATGCAAAAAGAAGGGGGGTTCGCCTGGTACGTGCTAAGTCTAGGTTTGGGACTTAACTCGGGCTCTCCCAAGCCCATACCATATCGCGACTTAGGGTTTAAGTTTCTTAACATGCAGGTGATTTATATCAAGGAGTCGCCACTAATCGATTTGGGGTGGGCGGATTAGAAACCCAAATAGGGTGATGGGAGAATCACTTTATTTCTACGAACCAGAGATTAACTGAGTTCGGGGACTTGGTTACACTAGTTGGATAACTAATGCCCTTTTGGTACCATTTTACCCTGTTCATTTTTTTAAAACATTTATCAGGCAATTTGGATTGATTTTTGGACTTTTCTCCTAACATGTGAGGTGATCAAGCGAGTGCATAATCAGAAACGATCAGCAGTCAGGAACACAACAATTCATGCAGCCTAAGGTTCTAACCTTAACTAAGTCAGATGACATTCAAAAACACAACAGCTCATGCAATTGTATTAAAAACATGCATAATAATACAACGGTAATAAAAACTAACATGCAAAATATTACCGCGCAATTCTCAGGCTTGTCTAATTTAAACAAGACAAAAATATGCATAATAATACTACAATAAATTAAACATTTAGAATATATCACACAATAATATTTTTTGAAAAAAAGATCTTTTCTTTTTTTATTTTTAAAAAAAAAATTTCGAAAAAAAAAATAATAATAAAGAAAAAGAAGAAAAAAAAATTTAAATTTTAAAATTTTTTTTGAAAATTTTTATTTTTTAAAATAAAATAATAATATAATATTAAACCGGGTCGGGTCGGATCCGACCCGGTTCAACTGATCCGACCCGGTCAACCTGATCCGACCCGGCGTTGACCCGGCCTGATCACCGAACCGGCCGGCCGACCGACCCGGGTCAATGGATCCGACCCCGCTGGGACTGTGGCCTGCCTGCTGATCCGGTCATTTAATCCAACCCGAGTCAACGGATCCGACCCGGCGTTGACCCGGCCTGGATCTATCGATTCGGCCTGTCCGACCCGAACTCGTTGCACTCCGCGGGGAGAAACGCCTGGAGCCAAAATTGGCCGTCCGCCGGCCGACCCAAACCGGCGCCGCCCCCAAAATGACCTCCTAGTACCAACATTAAGCTACACCACTCACTGAGGCAGCGTCGGACCTGTCGTTCGCCGGCCGTGACAGACAAAACCGGCCTCATTGAGGCATTTTGTCGAACACCTGGCATGCGCGGTGGAAATCGGCCCGATTTCGACCTCCTCCCGTGGCACGGTCGGCTCCGGCAGGCTGGGCCGACGTTCGATCATGAAGTGGGGACCGGGACCGCGACGGTGTGGGCGGGGAATCGCGCGACTCGGCCGGCGCGAGTCCCGGCCGGACCGCGTGCAAAAACGAGGGAGGACAGAGGTGATCGGGACCCGGGGATGCTTCACTTGGCTGACGGCCAGCGCTGGCCGGGCGGCTTACGGCGGTCCGCGAAGGCGGCAACGCCGCTGGTTGGTTACACTGTTCCGGTGGTTCGCTCTCTCTCTCTCTCTCTCTCTATTCTCGCCCTCTCTGTCTTCTCTCTTGCTCTGTTTTTCTCTCCCTCCGGCCGACCGGGCGGCTTTGGCTGCTTCACGGCAACGGCGACGCTGATGGTTCGCTCCGGCGTACTCCCGACCTGCTTTCTCTCTCTCTATTCTCAGCTCTCTTTCTCTCTGTTCTCTCTATGTTTCTCTCTATGCTCAAACCGACCGAGAAAAAGACCCCGCTCTCTCTCTCTCTCTTCTGGCCTGTATAGGCCGACGACCACGCTCACTCTCTGCTCCGTTGCGTCTGCTGACGACGGCCTGCACCGGCCTACTCTGGCCCGCGACTTTCACGAACGTTTAGGCCGGTGCAGAGGGGGGGTCGATTCTGTGAGGACGCAGAGAGAGAAGGAGAGAGAGAGGGAGCCCGGGAGATAGGGAAGACGGGACTGGCCTTAATGGCCAGTCCCTGTGGCGTGTTCCCCCGGCCCTCCTCTGGCCTGATGGAGACGGCGCGGAGCTGCTCCGCCGCTCGTCGTTCTGCGTCAGCTGCAGGGGTGAACAGGGAAAGAGAAAGGGACGTCGGCGGAGGAGAAGGAAGGAGGAGAAGGTGCTGGGCCGGGCTAGGCCCAGCCGCGCGGGGGGAGAAAAAAAAGAAAACGAAGTGGGCTGGGCCCGCGTGGGGGAGAAAGAGAAAGAAAAGAACAGGAAAGGGAGCGGGTCGGGGGCCCGCGC